AAGCAGATCACTTTTATTTCTTCTGAAATTATGAATCAGTTCGTTCACTTTATAAACAGTTATTCGTTTATTTGTTACGAATCACAGTTAACACCTTTGAAATTGAGATCCTTCGCTTACATTGAAAGCAGTGATGAACTATCTAATGAATTGCACCTAAATGAATGCATAATGCGATGGCGTCGTTCGTTGGTTTGCAGTCATAGATTGTGATAATTCAGCAGTGTTACTGATAGCAATATGCCTAGTGATAATGGCAAGTATTCAGGTACAAGTTGACAAACGATCGCTTATTGAATGCCGAACATAAGATTCGTTCATGGATATGTCAGACGATTGTACGTCCGCTTGTCAAAAACATCACTTCATTCAATGAACTACTGAACAAGGTGGTAGTAGTATTTCATGCCAACTTTATTCCTTGCTTAATGGGGGTCCAATCAATCTTGATTCACATAGTTTCTCGACTTGTTCGCAACGAATATTCCGCAGTGATTTCAGAAATATCAGAATCTTCATCTTAAAATTGGTCGCTCATCGGTAGAATCACTTCAGTCAGCGCTCTCATCGAAAGGTGACCTTATCGGCACGGTATTACCCTATCTTATACCCTACCTAAAAGTTCACGAGAAACAAGCTTACATCGTGAAACGTGCTAGCGAACTGAGTTTGGATATGTTCATGAAAGAATTCAAGTGGCAAAGTGGTGGAAGTGAACCGAATGGAAAGAGCAGTGAAGGTTGGTTGGTGCTTTGATGATGATCTCTCGATAACTGTACTTCTCTTTCGAAAATACTGCTAATTATTTCATTATTTGTTTCGTTGATACCTTTTGAATTATGCCTGTGCATTACAGCGAGTGCAATGACTACTTAGTCATGTTCACATATTTGTATCAAGTGATTGAAATTTATCTAATTTTTCAGCAGTCACTTCTATCTTTGTTTAGTTTCGTGCTGTTTAGTAGTTTACGGTGTATTCATTGATTTGATTCAATTTCAGGTTCGAGCAGTTACGCTCCTGCAGGTATGCCATGGGGTGAGTATTTACCGACTGATTCTCAGCTGATTTGGTATTGGTTGTGCACGTATCTTGATGCAAGGTTTGTTTGTTTACGTCTTTCTAATCGATCCGCACAAATGGAATGTGTTTTTGTTTTTTCGGCTCAGAGAAAGGTGAATTAAGAGAGGTTTCTGAAGCGAATATTCTATTTGTGTTGTGGTTGAAGAGCGACGTGAATTTTGATTGCTTGTTTTAGTGTTATTAAAACATATATTGTCTGAACTCTTTTTATTGTCAATTTCAAAAGCGCTCTGAGCTATTAAAATTTGTTGCTTTTTTGTTTCAGAATGGAAACGAACCCAATGGCAGCAAATCTGAATGCGCCGTTTTCATCAGTCTATTTCTTAAATAAGTTCGACAAGCCATCAACCCTTCAGTCACATAAAGACGCATTCTATGTGCATCAGGTCAGTGTGATTAACAACAGTCGTCTCATTATTCACCACTGAACGGAATAACCAAAATAAGACTCACTCATTAGAACTTTTTCATCGCAGAATTCCAATCTGTTGAAAATAAATTAGAAGTGAGTCGTGTCGTATGCGAGATTATTAAAGGAAACACATTCAGTGATATTTTAAAATGAATTCAGACGTCCATAAATCCACCACACTTCGAATTGGTTGTCGATGGAGGTCGCGAACGATTCGATGTGGGCAAAGGATCGAAAAATCTCTGGCGAACGATTCTGTTGTTCCTTCAGCACATCAGATTATTCAATAACAATCACATTGATCATTTGTCAATCGGACAGAACGGCATCAATTTAAGTTGCGTTCTTGACGATTGATTGATTGGTTGCCTCTCTTTTTGAATTGTCACTACTGTTATTTATCGTTCCGCAGTTGCTACTTTGCATTGCTTTCGCTATTATTATTATTATTATTATTATTATTATTATTATTATTATTA